CCGTTTTAGGGTGGGCCGGGTGTTTTGCCTGAGACTCCCTCACCACTTACGACCCTGAAGCTCAAACGTTGGCAACACTTTCACACATGGAGGGCGGATCGTTTTCAATATGTGGCTCTCGCCTTAGCGCCGCGCACACTCGTTTTCAACCTGTGCAAGAATTTCGAAGATTGCGGGCTACCAGTTTTCAAAGTGTGGCTCTCGCCTCAGCGCCGCGTGCATTCGCTGTAGAGATTTGCAAGAGTTTTGCGTATTGAGGGCGGTTCCTTCTGAAACTGTGGCTCTCGCCTTAGCGCCGCGCACGTTCGTCTGTTTACGTTTGCAAGAATTCCATGTATCCCCATGATCAGCGTACCAGAAATGGCATGTTGGAAGGATTCAGGATCATGAAGGTGCAACAGTTACGTTGATTCGCAGTGCTGAGGTCCCAAGAATGGCGTTCTGGCACGATTCAGGATCGTCAAGACGCAGCAGTCAGGTTGATCCGTGGCGTTGGAATCCCGAGAACAACGTTTTCGCATGCGTCAGGGTCTTCAAACGGCTGTCTTCCAACGAGGAAATTCCCTCAGTGGAGATGAACCGCTGTAGGGGGCCTATGAAAAGGGAGCTTGGAGGGAGGGTGTATTGCAACATCCTTGATGACCCTTGGGTTTACACTGGTCCTCCTCCTTCTCCTCCTCCTCGCATCCTCCCCTCCCCTTTCCCCCCGCACTGGCGAGGAGAGCGAGGCCTCCTCCGCGGTCTCCCGTGGTGGCCGCGCCGCCGCGGTCTCCTCCGCGGGCTGTCGGGGAGGGGCCGTGGGCAAGGCAGGGCGGGGAGAGGAGGGAGAGGGGCAGGGATAAGCCAAGCGCACTCGCGCCATACCTGACATCCTACTCCTCCCACCCGTCCCGTCCCGTTGCGCTGCTTTATCTCTATCCGCCGACGCGTGTCATAGCGGACCTGGTCATGCCAGAGGGAGGGGGAGGAGAAGGGAGAGAGGGGCAGGAGGATGAGGAGGAGGAGGAGGAAGAGGAGCAATGAAACAGGGGTGATGGGGTAGACAAGTAAGGGAGAAGGGAGAAGAGGTGGGGAGGGGGCAGGGGGCAGGGGGGGGGGCTGGAGAAGGAGAGACCTCCCCCTCTTCATCCACCCGCTCGCCATTCTCATCCTCACTAGCTGCCCCTCCTCCTCCTCCTCCTCCTCCTCCTCCTCGTACTATTGAACGGCACTCCCACTAAAGCGGAGCGTAATGCCTCAAGATGTCTGCTACGATGGGGACACCGCGGCCACAACATGCGCAGAGCCTGGCAAATTCCTCCCCCCTCTTCGAAGACACCCGTGAAATCTTCGTCGACCGTGGTTCATGATCTAAGAAAGATAAAACTAAGTCTGTTATCATTCGATGAGAAACCTCTATTCATTATGCTGTGGCAGAGTTGTCGGTCACCCCCCAAGCTGCACTACTATCTTTCCAGAATGCAAACCCAAAAACACTGTTCCAGAGTAACAAACCGTGGCTGATATTCTCCCTGTGAGGCGCCTGGGTTGGGGGGGGAAGAGGAAATAGTAAACAAAATCGACCCCCCCCCGCTCGTTTATTATCATTCCAGAATAATGAACCCTAGCTAATAAAGGTCCGGTAAGAAGTAGTAATCCAAGTCGACCCCCACCCCGGCTCGATTATTATCAATCTGGAATAATAAACCCAAGTATATAACGCCCGGGAATAATAAACCAGGGTCAATATTCGAACATAATACTGATCACCCTGGTGACGGGGGGTTGGGGGGCAAACAACCATTCGTATCATTTCAAAATAATGAACCCAATTCATTGTCTTGGGGTTCTGGAGCTGGGGCCCCGAAGACATTGCAAACCGAAGTTCAGAATGTTCCAAAAGAACATCATGAACCCCAACTAATATTCATGGGACAATATTAACCCAGGTTTACAATGTTCTGGGGGGGAACATGATGAACCCCAGTTAGTATTCACGAAACATTATAAACTCAGGTTAATATCTATTTGGGGTCCATCCTGTCCTCCTCCTCCTCCGCCTCCTCCTCCGCCTCCTCCTCCTCCTCCTCCTCCTCCTCCTCCTCCTCCCTCCTCCTCCTCCTCCTCCTCCTCCTCGCCCGCCCTCCTCCCCCTCCGCCTCATCATCATCCTCCCTCATCCTCCTCTTGCCCCTCCTCCCACTCCCTCCACCCCAGAGATAGCTCCCCCCCCGCAGAACGTCCGTCAGCCCCCTGACGCTACCGGACCTCCTCCCCCCTCTTCCCCCACCTTCCTGTCTCCCTCCTCCTCTCCAGCGACTCCCGACGACGACGACGACGACGACCTACGCCGACTGACGATGGCGACGGCGACGGCGACGACGTCGACGACGAGGGAAAGTCTCCAATGCAGTAGGCGCCACAAACTCTTCGCCGTCTGCGAACGCCGGCGAAGTCGGTGACAACACCGCCGTCGGGACCGGCATCTCGGTGGGGGACGACGGGGGCGCCGAGCGCAGCGCCTCGTCGTGGGGCGGGGCGACGACGACGACGACGACGACGACGACGACGACGACGACGACGACGACGACGACGACGGCGCTGGCGCTGGCGCTGGCGACTCCTCCTTCCTCCCCCTTGCGCACGCACACGCACGCGACGCGGTGATGGCAACCAGCCACCAGCTCACGACAACCGAGCCAGGATGCGCGCTGCGCCGAGTGATCCACCTTAGCAAAAACAACTCTTCTTCTTCCTCCTCCTCCTCCTGGAAAAACAATCGGGACTGGCCGACCGCTGGGCGCTGGGCAGCAGCAGAAGCCAAGCGGCCCAGCGAGGCGCAAGGAGGGCGGCACAACCGGAGCACGCCAGGCCAGGGATGGATGGGCGAGGGGCGGAAGGAAGGGGGCAAAAAGCGGCGAGCCGAGGCGGCGCCGCGGAAGAGGAACCGACCAGGGCAAAAACAGAATTTGACCTCCCAGGAGCTGTATCTGAAGACACGGAGGATTTACGATACATTACCAGACAAGCGCGCTCCACGACTCACAGAGAAACTGCGAGCAAACAGCCTGGAACCGCCGCGGGGAATCTACAATCTATGAGGGTCAGACATGCGATGTTTGGTCGGACGTTTGCGAGTAGACACTTTTTGCGAGTAGTGGAGCGCGCTCGGCGAATTACACCGATGCTGACATGTGTGTGTGTGTGTGTGTGTGTGTGTTTCGGATCTCTTGCGAGGAGACACTCTTTGCGAGCAGTGGGACGCGCTCGGTGAGGGCAGGCCGCAGAGAGCGCAGAGAGCGCGGCCTCCGAGAGGCCAAAAGAATTGAGGGGCTGGCGCTGCCGGCACGCCCCGGAGCGCAGCGGGCAGAGGTGGCCCAGGGGTGGGCCAGAAGCACCAGTCGAGCAAGGGATCGATTGCAGAATTGCTTTGTTCCCAAATTGGTTTTCTCGTCGGGTCCACGGAAAATGCGACGTCTAATTGCAGATTCGGTGAAGAAATCAATTTTAGGGTAAATCAATCCTGCAGTCGATCCCCTACTCGAGCCAGTTGGAAACCGAACTCTATACGCCGACGCCTTGTCTGGCCCTGCACTGCAATGTGCACAGGAAAGCGGATCCTGGTGTATACGGGATCCTGGTGTATAATGTTTCGCTGTATCCCTGAGGAAACGGGGAAAAACGTATGCACCACACCACTCCGACGTCGTCCCCGACCCTCAAAAAGTCTTGGGATCGAAAAACAGCCCGCCACTGGTAACGTATATGCTCCAGTTTCCGATCTGTATGTGTGTGTGCGTGTCCGACATTAAACTTTATCCCGATTCTAATCCTTACGAGACCCTCGCTCGAGAAATGGGGTCCTTGGCCAAGCTGGTGTACAGCTCAGAGGCCTGCCTGCATAGCCGTCCAGTCAAAAGGTTGACGCGAAGGACCGAGGAAACCACTGACATGGGACCGCTGACAGTGGGTCCTCAGAGTTGCGGCTTCGAAGAAGCGACCCCGAGACCATCTGAAGCGCCAAAAACCCGTAAAAACGTTCGGCGGAGACCGTGTGCCCTGGCCATGCGCCAGCTGGGCCGGTAGATAGCACCGAAGTGGCGAGCCATCCACACACGCACGCATGCACGCACGCACGCACGCACGCACGCACGCACGCACGCACAGACACACACACACACACACACACACACACACACACACACACACACACACACACACACACACACACACACACACACACACACACACACACACACACACACACTTTTTGGCGTCGCGGCCCCGCGTGCAGCGACAGGGCGTAGGAAAGTCAAAGAAGCGGCCGCGCACGCACATCTAGAGACCGAGCCCTCATGCCGCTTGGAACAACATACCCCACCCCACCACACACACACACACACTCATGCTTGCCAGCATTTGCGAGCGCCTCCACCGCCGTTTTGCTCCGCTCAGTCGGGCGGGTGTATGCTGCACGGGACGGGATCCCAGCCCACACATCATGCGTGCACCCATGGGCTGTCGCAGCCCACGGCGTGACCCTCAATGCACCATCGGCTGATGGTAGGAAGCTGTAGTAAGGATGCCATGGAACCGATTGCCTCAAGCTACAACCTACAGCCAGAAACATGATCTAGAAAACTATCGTTTCAGAATTCTTGGCCAGCTTCCTGGCGGCCTCTTAAAGCAAACCAGGGCGAACTTCTGCCGTTCACTCTGAAGGGGCGAGCGTGCTCAAGAAGCTGGGCCAGCTTTCCGGCAATATGTTTGAACAGCGCTGGTCCAGCTTTGCGGGAGGAGGTTTCTTGATCCTATGCTCGACCGTAGTGCGGAAGAGGGCACCGCTGCGGGCGTTGGGAAGACAAGGCTGTCGCGTCGCGCTCCCTGGCCTGCGTCGGGAGACACCTGCGCCCGAGTCAGGGGGTCAATGGGAGAATGAGGTCGGTCGGCGGAGGCGCCTGCAGGCGCTGCGTCCTGTCTCGTCCTCGTCCTCGTCCTCGTCCTCGTCCTTCTCCTCCTCCTCCTCCTCCTCCTCCTCCTCCTCCCCCTCTTCCCCCTCCCTCTCCTCCTCCTCCTCCTCTTCTTCCTCCTCCTTCTCCTCCTCTCCGTAGCCATTTTGGCTCAAGAGCCGTTCTGGCCCAGGTGTTGTGCCTGGACTTGCAACCGCGTATTTCAAAACGGCATTGCTGTTGCGGGCCTCTGGCTTCACGGCAATCGATCCTCAGCTTTCCTCTCAGGCCGAGGGGCCGCATCCCCTCCATCGCTCGGCCGCGGATGAGCCCAGGGCCCGCGGGAGATGCCTTCGCAGACTCCCCTTGGCGCCAAGGCCCACCGTTCCAGCGAAGCAATACATGGAAGTGCAGCTCATGCGGCTGCGCAAAGAACAAGATGGCGAGCCACGTCTGCAAGCACTGCGGCACGGCCTGGAACGCCCCGAAGGTTGCTGATGCCTCTCCTCCTGCTGGTGTTTGGGCTCAGCGCGCTGCTGTTGGAGGCCTGCTTCCCGCTCTCTCGCCAGGGCTGCATTATCAGGGCTTCCAGGGCGGCGGCAACGGCAAGGGCGTGCACAAGGGCGGAGGCAAACCGTCCAAGGGCAAGGGCAAGGGGCACGGAGGCGCTGTGTGGACACCACCTGGCTACTTCTACTCCCCCGCCCTGGTCCCAGGTCCGCAAGGAGGAGTGGTTCAGCCTGGCCCTCCTCCCAACGTCACCCAGCTTTCGGTTCAAGAGCTGGAGACCTTCGTCGAGCTTTTCCGCAAGGTGGGCAACACGACGGAGGCCAACCGCTACCAAGTACAGCTGGCTGCGCTCAAGAAGCCGCCCAAGGCTGAGGAGTCATTTGAAGAACAGCTCGCACGTTGCCAGCGCGAGCGGCTCAAACTGGGGAAGAAGTTGTCTTGGGAGTTCGGCAATCTCGAGGAGCTCCGCCTCAAAGTCGCCGCTCAGGAGTCCCTCATCGTCCAGAACAACAAGGAGATGGACGGCCTGGACGCCAAGCACGACGAGCTCACGGAGAAGGTACACTCGCTGCGCAAGCAGCACCCCGACGCCAGCAAACCTGTCGTGTCGCTCTCCGAGCTCCTGGCAGGCAAGATCGACGCCTTCGAGCTGGACGTCGGCGACCTGCTGGACATCGACCCCGAGGTCGGCACGCTCGAGGAGTCGGACATTGTGGAGGTCAACAGGCGGAAGGGGCAGCTGGTCAGCGGTTTCAACACCATGGCCAAGGACCTTTTCGCCAAGGCGATGGAGTCGGTGCAGGCAGCCAAGGCGGCGCACGTGGAGCAGACCCAGCGCCTCAAGGCCAAGCGTCGTCGAGGTGAGGACGGAGCTCATGCTGCTGAAGCTGATGGGCAAGGACACCCTGCTGATGGCGCACCCGCTCCTGGACAGGCAGCCCAAGCTGAACCAGCTGCTCAGCCAGCTCCGACGTCGGCTCCTTCGGCTCCGTCGACGGGATCTACTGCAGGCACTGGTCAGGCTGCCAGTGGATCTTCGGCAGCACCTCCACCGCCTGACCTGGCCAAGATGCGCGAGGCAGCGCGCGCTCTGGCAGCCAACAAGGTGTCTGGCAAAAGCGCCCCCCCGCTTGACGTCTCGATGTGAAGCGGGGGGCATCGAATCGGGGATTTGTTCTGTCATTCTTGACAGGGTAAAGCTCTGCGGCACGCCTGGCTCCTCTCTGTGCGGCCCCAGTTCACGTAATCCTCGTTGTGGCTCGGTGCCGTCGGTCTCGGCGGCTCCGCAGCACGGTTGCTCCAATCCGTCCGTGAAGAATCTTGCTCGTGTAATTTTGCCAGTTCATGCGAGCGGTGACGCGATGTTAATTCAGGGGACGCATCGTACTCCCCTGGCTGCACGGCGAGATGCTTGGAATCTTGGAGCTGACGCTCGTGGCTGCCCAGCAGTCCCCGAAGCCCCCCCTCGTAAGAATTTTCCCTGGCCGTGGAAACTGTCAACGGCAACGCTTGGTCGTCGGTGAGAGACTGGCTTCCCAGGTGTTCGGCCCACGTTCTCCTCGTCCAGGAGCACAAGCTCCAGGCTGGGGATGCCATCGAAGTGGCATATGCTTTTTGTTTCAGGCACGGCTTGAAATCCCTCTGGGTCCCAGGAACCCTTGGAGAGGGGGGGGGGCCCTCCTGTGGTGTCGCCATCCTGGCCCGTAGCTGGCTAGGCTTGCATAGTTTGGGCCCCGCTGAGCTTTGGCCCCACAGGGCCGTGGTTGGAGTTGTCCACCCCCCAGAGGGCCAGGCCATCCTCCTCTCCTCTCTTTACCTTCGGGACTCTGAAGGGCTCAGTGAAGCGAACCTCGACATCCCTGGGGCCCTTGGTGTTCATTTTTCGACCTCTGGGATGCCCTTCCTGATGGGCGGCGACTTCAATCTCGAGCCGCCCACGCTCCACGAGAGCGAGTTCGTTCACAATCTCAGGGGCCAGTTGGTGGCGGCGGACGGGCCCACGTGTTACGGCACTGGCGATCCCAAGTGCTACGACTTCTTCGTTCTGTCGGGCGGCCTCGCGA